AGCAACAGTGTACTGTCCTGGGTAGGACGATAAACTACATCGGGCATCCTGAGTAAGACGTTAAATTAAATCCACGTTCTGGGTAAGACGATAAACTACATTCGCATCCGGGGTAAGACGTTAAGATACATCCGCGTGCTGGGTAAGACGTTAAACTACATACATGCACTAGAAAATATGCACCTTCTACGGAAAGGAAACTGTAAGAAATTGGTATGAACACCACCCAGACCCGGTTAAGGAGATAGGACCTGTTACAATTCTCTGGGACTACACATTACACACAGACAGAACAATCAAATCTAATCACCCATATATCGTTATAAGCCTCCTTATTGATATGGCAGCCCCTGCGTACTGCGATGTATCTTTGAAGATCTTCAAAAAGCTATCAAAATACAAGGACCTTGAAATCGAAATCTGAAAAATGTGGCACGTGAGAACATCAACAATCCCCGTTGTAGTTGGAGCCCTCGGATTGATTAAAAAAGATTCCAATAGACTCGTTTAAGGGATTCCTGGAAGCCCATGCCTTAAAGAAATACAAAAAGTTGTTCTCATTAGTGCAGACCACACCTTACGAAGGGCTTTATCTATGTAAAATAAGCTTTTTTTTCCTCAGAGGAAAATGTCATGATGACATTTCTGAGCTTAGGTCTTGGGGGGGGATGTGTACACACCAGAAATCAAAAGATAATAATAATAATATCCTATTATACTCGTGATAATCCCTCCCTTTGTTAGTTAAGAGGACTGTTCCGTACAGCCAATACCTCATGAATAATGGACTATTTCGCGTTTTGCGTGGGAAATGGGGAAACCATTACTTGGTTTTAGTGAGAAAAAAAGAAAGAAGGGAAGATAGAGGTGGAAAGTGTGAGAGAGAGACAAAGAGACAGAGAGAGAGACACAGAGAGAGAGAATTATGTTAAGCTGAGAAGAACAGATACTGCACTTTCATCTCAACCAAGAGGCTGAGAAGCGATGCCTATCTAAATGATATTTTAAAAAATCCATGATTTTGTAGCACAAAACCGAAAGAGAAAGGGGGAGAGGCTGATTCCTATTATCTTACACCTGTGCTCTTCGACACGTGAGTCATTTCCTCTAGCAAAATCCTCAATCACAACAAGAATACATCCTTCGCCACTCAATCTAACATACACCATAATACCACATATTTGATGGGGTCCTACTAAAACACCAAAGAGCTACTAATATATATATATATATATATATATATATATATATATATATATGAAGAAATATACTCTTAAAGTGTGTTATATTTAGGGGATAAAGTGCTCAATATCAGCGATAGAGCGTGTGTAAATATAAAGGCTGTTTCATGCTAGACGAAAATTCGTCAGGCCACGAGTGTCGTTTTTTTTCTCGACTATTTATATATACGGGTTAGTACTGCATTGTGGGTAGTCTATTTTGGTCGTTATTTTACCGAAAGTCGGTTATCTGTTTATTTATTTGAGCTAAATTATTTAGCTTGTTTTTTTATTTATTTTTATTAATTTTTATTTTTTTTATTTCTTATCTTATATATTTATTTATTTATTTTAATTTTAATCGGTGTTTTATTAACATAGTACAATTTGTTTATGTTGCTTATTTAATAGTTTTGTTTTGGCTTGGGAAGATAAAACTATTTATTCAATTTTGGGGTTGATTACTGTCGTTTATTCTAACTATTATTTTGGCGGAAGTAGTTTTTAATTTGTTTATTTCTTCATTTAATTATTTGGATTGATTACCTTTACTCGTTTTTTCTAACGGTTAATTTATCAGGAGTGGTTTGTTAGTTTGTTTATTTGTTTATTTGGATTAACTTAGATTAATTTATTTTAATTGTTTTTTTATTACTTATTTATTATACTGTATATTTTTATTTACTCTTTTCAGTTTTCGATTTTTAAGTAACGTAGTATTTATTAATTTTTTAATCGTTATATAACAGTTATAGCTATGTTTTCCGTCCGATTTTTGATTTGATTTTCATAGTCTAACTAATATTTTAGTCATAATGGTTTGTTAATTTATTTATTATTTATTTTATTTATTTGGGTTCATTGATTTTGTTTTTTATTTTTATTTATTTATTCTATTTCGTCTATTCTGATGGGTATGATTTGGTAATTTGTTTGGGTTAATTTATTTTGCTTATTTTATTATCATTTTGTTTATTTATTTATTTTATTTTACTTTATTTTTCAGTTTTCGGTTCTTAAGAAACGAAATAAAAATTGTTTTCATGTCTGCATTATGAGATGAGCTCGGATCTTTTATTTAATAATTTATTTTGGTCTGGGAAGGTAATGATAGCTATTTTTTCCTCCAAGCAAAGTTTGCAAGTTTTGGATTGGTTGTTGTAGGCTGATGGTCTTTACCTTATTTTCCAAGATATTTTTCGTGTGATGTGCGTTTTGTTTTTAATTTCCCAGATATACTTAGAAAGCTTTATGCTGTTCGTCCGCGTATTTACTATTTGTGAAAGATTTGTGCATAATTTCTTTGTTTCCAGGGTCCTTCAGTTACTCCTATGTATACTTTTCCTTCATTATCTGGTGATTTTATCGTGGCTTGGTATATTACCTTGTTTTGTAAGCAATTACCGTTTAAGGGACATTCGTTCTTTATTCTGCCGTTACACGTGGGTTTAATTTCCTTCTGCGGTTTGTTGATAGTTTTTCTGTTGTGCTTTATTATTTGTGTCATGTTCTCAGTGCAACTGTAGCTGAATTTTTACTGTGTTTTTGTTGAATATTTTGTGTAGGGAGCTTGATTTCGGGAAGTGTTTGTGTAAGAATTTGAAGAATATTTTTCTTACGTTTGTTTTTACGTTTTTGCTGTACGGTGGGTTGAACCATATGATATTTCTTTTCCTGTTGGTCTTTTTTGTTTTCTGTGGTGAGTATGTGAGTATTGCTGGGAATCCGCTATCTTTTAGGGCCGTTTCATAGTCTTTCTTAGCTTTGTTAAATAGGGATTCATTGGAGGAATTGTCGGAGAGCCTGCGGTTAATCGATTTTGGTATCTGTTTGATTATAGAAGGCGGATGGTTGGAAAATGTGTGTATGTAGAGTGGTTTATCATTAGGTTTTCCATATGGTTTATATGTACCTTCTCTTAGGTTGAAGGTAACATCTAGGAAATCTACTTCGTTTAGGTTAGTTTTTATATCTATGTCGAATCCGTTATTTTTGAAAATCTTTATTATTGCTTTTCTACTTTTGTCTGTGTTTTGTTTGTTACAGTTTCTTAAGATTAGGCCGTCGTCCCTATAGAGTCCTGTGTCATTTCTATCTATTATTTAGCTTGGTTCGTGTAGTAAGTATATACCTATGATTTCGCAGGTCGGTCTCTGCACTGTCAATTGGATTGTTTTGACATCAGTTTAGAATGAAGATCAGAACTGACAAAACGTGTTTGCATTTGGCAGATTTCAGCAAAAGCTGGGTGCAAATTTCAAGACTAGTTCAGACCAACCTTAATATGCATTTTTAGTCCACTAAGATTTTTTTGTACGATAACCATTTTTAGAAATTGGAAATAAATTGAAATTTAATGCATAATCCAGTCAACCATGAAATAAAAATAATTGTTTGTAGTATGTAAATAATAGTTTGTAAGTAAGGACCTACGTACATTAAATTGTCTTTAAATTAAGTGGTGGTAAAAGAATTATCGTGTAACTTAAGAATATGAGCGAAAATATCAATGCAATTCTTAAATGCCGCGATTAATTTTGAGTTCTTTTGTAGCCTTTTGTTGCCTCTCGCATCTACTTCTCCCTATTTATTGTGAAGAAGGCCCAATCAAGAGCACTTCGTAGGAGTTAGCTTAAATGCTGCCCGATGAGGCTGCTTTTAAGCCAGTATATATATATATATATATATATATATATATATATATATATATTATAAATTGGACAGATTTTCATTGCTTTAAACAATACTTTTAGTGGATACTCATATTTGAGTAGACGACTCGTTTATTTATTAAACAGTATATTTATTCATTTTCGTCTACCGGCCTGAATATTCGAGCATTCAGAAAGCCTGAATATTCGAGAACCCAGAAAGCTTGATTATTCGAGAATCCAGAAATCTTGATTATTCGAGAATGCAGAAAGGCTGAATATTCGAAAATCTAGAAAGCTTGATTATTCGAAATTCCAGAAAGGCTGAATATTCGAAAATCTAGAAAGCTTGATTATTTGAGAATACAGAAAGGCTGAATATTCGAAAATCTAGAAAGCTTGATTATTCGAGATTCCAGAAAGGCTGAATATTCGAAAATCTAGAAAGCTTGATTATTCGAGATTCCAGAAAGGCTGAATATTCGAAAATCTAGAAAGCTTGATTATTCGAGATTCCAGAAAGGCTGAATATTCGAAAATCTAGAAAGCTTGATTATTCGAGATTCCAGAAAGGCTGAATGTTCGAAAATCTAGAAAGCTTGATTATTCGAGATTTCAGAAAGGCTGAATATTCGAGAATCTAGAAAGAAAGATTATTCGATTCCAGAAAGGCTGAATATTCGAAAATCTAGAAAGCTTGATTATTCGAGATTCCAGAAAGGCTGAATATTCGAAAAGCTAAAAGCTTGATTATTCTGAAAGGCTGAATATTCGAGAATCCAGAAAGCCTGAACTTTCGAGAATCCAGAAAGCACATATTTCCCTTTTTCATTTTAATTAATTTTTTCTTAGCTCTGTGCTGCTCTTTTCATTGGTCAGGTAGACCAACTGCCTTTCTCTTGTGCTGTAAATCCGTGTGTGCGTGTGGGTGGGTACGTCTGGATTCTAGCGAGCACTTTCCTTTCTCGCTTGTATTGTCCGTGTGTATAATTCCTGAAAATGGGACGTTTGGCGTGTCTTTGTGTTTGTCTATTATGCTTAAAGGTTGTCTCGTGGGATTTAAGCGACAATGCGTGTGCATCTGCTAGGCATTTCCATTTCTGTCTGTTTGTGTCCGTATGCTGAGTAGGGGAAGCTTGGCATGGGAGATGTAGGCACACCATTTTCAATTTGTACAGAACTCTGGGTCAACTACCGTCACGCCGCATGCAATCGGGATTATACAATCAGGATCTTATTACGACCACGTCACGTTGAAAAAATTAAGCAACGTCGAGCCTGGTCTGTGCTTTGATGGGTGGCCGTTTGGAAATAGCGTTGATGTGCAAGCGGTGTAATTCATAATGACTTGGCATTGTCAATAGGAGGGTCGCGTTTCCAATTCCAGTTCGGTTTCTTTATTTTCATTAACGCAAAAATACACTTAAGAAAGTGTTGAACTAAAGACTCTCCCTATGGGTTAATTAGTAAGACTAATCACTAAAAGCAATAAATCCGTCCTGGGTATGACGATAAACTACATCGCTGTCCTGGGTAAGACGTTAAACTATATCCGCGTCCTAGGTAAGACGTTAAACTACATCCCCCTTCCTGGGTATGACGATAAACTACATCCGCATCCTGGGTAAGACGTTAAACTACATCCGTGTCCTGGGTAAGACATTAAACTACACCCTCCTTCCTGGGTATGACGATGAACTACATCCGCGTCCCTAGGTAAGACGATAAACTATATTCGCGTCCCGTTTATGACGATAAACTACATCCGCCTTCTGAGTATGGCGATGAACTACATCAGCGTCCTGGGTATGACGATAAACTACATCCGTATCCTGGGTAAGACGTTAAACTACATCCGTGTCCTGGGTAAGACATTAAACTACACCCTCCTTCCTGGGTATGACGATGAACTACATCCGCCTCCTGAGTATGACGATGAACTACATCCGCCTCCTGAGTATGACGATGAACTACATCCGCGTCCTGGGTAAGACGATAAACTACATCCGCGTCCTGGGTATGACGATAAACTACATCCGCCTGCTTGGTATGACGATGAACTACATCCGCGTCCTGGGTAAAACGTTAAACTACATCCGTGTCCTAGGTAAGACGTTAAACTACATCCGTGTCCTGGGTAAGATGTTAAACTACATCCTCCTTCCTGGGTATGACGATAAACTACATTCTCATCCTGGGTTAGACGTTAAACTACATCCGTATCCTGGGTAAGGTATTAAACTACACCCTCCTTCCTGGGTATGACAATGAACTACATCCGCGTCCAAGGTAAGACGATAAACTACATCCGCGTCCCGTTTATGACGATAAACTACATCCACCTCCTGTGTATGACGATGAACTACATCCGCATCCTGGGTATGACGATAAACTACATCCTCCTTCCTGTGTATGACGGTAAACTACATCCGCGTCCTAGGTATGACGTTAAACTACATCCTTCTTCCTGGGTATGACGATAAACTACATCCGCGTCCTGGGTAAGACGTTAAACTACGCCCAACAGCAAGGCATCTTATCAGGAGGCTTTGAGGAGCATAGAATCACCTCTTAATTGCTGGTGTTCCCAGGTCCACCCTGACCCGGGGTGGTAGAACCTGTTAGGGTCCCAGATATGGGCAAATAGTTAATCCCCAAACTGGGGTCAAAACATTGTGAAAGTATAGGTTTCAATACCAAAATATAAGTATATGTTCCCATACCAAAAATACTTTGTAAAAGATTTTTACCAGCGATAAATTTTTGAAGGAAAAAAACTATTACCAGCAATATATTTTTGAAAGAAAAAAAGCAATATTTCCAGCAATACGTTTTAGAAAAAAAAAATTACCAGCAATACATTTTTATAAAAATAATATTGCTAGCTATACATTATTTTGTTGGAAAAAAATATTACCAGAAATAGATTTTTGAAAAACTAAAATATTACCAGCAATAAAAATTGTCGGCATTAAATGACCTACTGAGGTTGATATACCGTAAAACAAAATAACCCAACCTAGTTCAAAGAAATAAAACATTCTTAAAATTTAGAAATATTTTCTGGATTTAAATAACCTGCAAAGGGCTGATAAGCCTTACAAAACAAATCAATCACTGAAATACTGATTCGTTATACAGGCAGGTCTTTTAGTTTTATTTGCATTCTCTGCAATATCAATAGAAACTGCTGTGGGCACAAAGTGAGGGACCAGTTTATATATTGATTTTAATATAGAATTCATCTCATATCCACGTTATTTCTCGTTATATCTCTTGTCAAGTTCTGATTAGGTATGAATCCAGCTCTTCCCCTCCCAGCTAAGGATTAATTAGTAAGACTGGGATCATAAAAATTATTATTATCTGCCCGCACAAAACGATCATTTTGACAATCTAAAAATATTTTCTGGCTTTAAATAACCTGCAGAGGGTTGACAAACCGTAGAAAATGAATCCATCAATGGACACACACGTACTTAAAAATGTCAATAAAAACAGCCGTGTATAGACCGACACCCGCTCTTCGCTCGCAAACGAACACGGCTTATACACATAAACGTACTTACATAGCAACAAGCGTGTACTTTTTCGTACACCTAATGCAGTTTATGTAGGTATACTAATGTAAAGTTGAATATACCTATGTACACATCTATAGACTCAAGCATAAACATGCAGATGCTCACAGAGAGAAGCACGTTACTAGCACTATTCTGGCACAAGCGCACACACAACGAGACGCTTAGACAGGGGAAGCTCTCGATACTTGCAACCAGATCAAAGTCGATGAAATAAATCCGATCAGAAGTAACTAAGTCCGGTGTTAGCCTTCGATAACGACAGATAAACTCGCCATTTAATCTCATAAAAGTCGAAACTAAAGTTTCAGTTACCCTACCGCTAGCAAAAAAAAAAAAAAAAATCGATCGATCGATTGATTTTTTCCAAGTACGATCCGAGACTCCAGAATATGAGGTAACAGTCTGTATAATAAATCCTGTAATTTCTGTTCGCCCGTCCAATCGTACGTCCATTCCGTCCGTCCGTCCGTCTGTTCGTTCGTTCGTTCCTCTGTCCGTTACTTTGTCTGTACGTTCGTCCGTTGCTCCGTCCGTCCATTCATCTGTCCGTTTGTCCTATTTTGGGGGGAGAAGTGCATACAGGTAACGGGGTACAAAATGCAATTGTTTTAACCACGGTACGTAACTCAGTAAAATAAATTTCTATCACTTTGTTTGGAAGAATTGAAAGCTTTATGTTATTATTTAACATGCAATACTCCCACAATTTTAAAAAACAAATTAATGATTAAGATAACAAATACTTATTTAATAAAAATTAAATATTGTTTCTTGGATATCTTTTTTTTAATTTTTTTTTTTAAATACACTAATCCAATTTTTCAGTTCGCCCTTCGAGAACTATAAACAACTCATAACTTGGAATTTGCTCCAGAAAGAAATATTAACGCATGGCCAGTTGTATGTTGCATGCTTAAGAGTAAGAAATCCGTAGAATTTATTTTTCCCCTGTTAATAAAAAAAAAAAAAAATTTTTCTTAAAAAATATTTTTTATCATGAAGAAATTATTAAACCACGAAGTAGTGTTTTTGACAAAGTATTTTTCCAAACAAAACATTTTATTCAAATTTCGTGGATTGGTTTGCTAAATTGAACGAAACGTAGTGTTTGTAAATCTCAACAAAAAAAAATGTTAGCGATAAATTCAAAAACACTAAATCCTGTGAGGATTTTAACACACGTCAGCGTGTTGGAAAAAAAAAAAAAATAAAAAAAAAAAAAAAAAGCTAGTTCCAATAAAAAAGAACTCGTGGAGAACTACGATCTCCGACGTCCCGGAGGGACATGACATTTTAAAAATGAAGAAATATACACTAATCCAGTAATCATAACATTAATGATAAACCCTCAGCAAATAAAAATTAAGCCTGAGACAAGATCAGAGGTATAGATCCTTTTGTACTAATGCGGGTGACTCCCAGGGATCCATCCATGGTCCTATTTTGTTTTTGATTTTCATTATTGACCTCTCCGATGACATCAGCCCTCAACATGGTATCTACGCTGATTATACAATGATAAACCCCCAAAAAGATAAAATGTAAACACAAGACAAGATCAGTTGTTTAGAACTTTTCGTATTAATGGTGGTGACTCTTAGGACTCCACCTTTGTCCTAGTTTGTTTTTGACTTTCATTAATGACCTTTCCGATGGTATCATCCCTCAAACTAGCTATCTATGCTGATTACACAGCCATTTGTTCATGCCTCGAAAGTAACTTTGATCGGTAAGATCAAAATGGCAGCCGATGTCCAAAAGGACCGACAGTCTGTTGTTAAATGGGGCAAAGGATGGCTTGCATATTTTACTTTGTCCAAAACAAAACTTCTCTCCATTAATCAACTTTGAGACCCATCTCTGCATTCCATCAGCATGACTGATATTAACCCACAGGAAAAAAAAACTTCTCGGCGTTCTCAGCTGACATAATGTAGAAAGACTATATTGAATCCATTGCTGGGACAAATGCTAAGAAATCTGTTTCACTGTGTCGTGCAAGACAATTTTTCTCTCCAGAATCTTACATAACTATAAATCTACCATTCATCCAAGCTTGCACTATTACTGTCAGATATGTTTGTTTTTGTTTTTCTTTTCTTCTATGTGCCATGTTATTCAGTACTTGGGCGATCATAGCCCTCCACTATTACTTTCTAAATCTTATTAAGTTTTGTGTTTTTCCTATTTTTTTCTACCCCGTGTTCTGTCAAGCAGTTAAACAAGCTCGTTAGATAGTTTAGTCGCTGTTCTCCTATGTTTTACATGCTTTCAGAAAAAGGAACTCGTAGAGAACCATGATCACCTACGTACTGAAGGGACATGGCATTTTAAATATGAAGAAATATACACTATTCCAGAAACCATTACATCAATGATAAACCCTCAAAAAATAAAAGGTAAACACAAAACAAGATCAGTTGTTTAGAACTTTTCGTATTAATGCTGGTGACTGCATCCTTTGCCCTAATTTGTTTTGGATTTTCATTAATAACCTTCCTGATGGCATCAGCTCTCAACTTGGTATCTACGCTGAAGACACAAT